TAGCAAGGTGAAAAAAATGGTTTCAATCGCTAGATGGACAGCTGTTTCTGTCGGTGACTTAACGGTGTGGGGGTTATGGTGGATTTTAGGGTCTCTCTCTCTCACTCTCTCTCTCTCTCTCTCTCTCTCTCTCTCTCTCTCTCGTTTCATCACATCACGTTGGTGGCCGGGTGAAGAATCTCACTCATCACGACGGGCCAGGAATTTGAAACATTTTCTTTGTGGTGTGGATGAAGTAACAATTCCTCTCTCTCTCTCTCTCTCTCTCTCTCTCTCTCTCTCTCTCTCTCTCTCTCTGCCTCCTTGATGAAGTGTCTCAAGAAGATTGGTGCAGTTTTTCCCTTTCTTTCGTCCTGCATTCCCTTCCTTCCTTCCTTTCTTCCTTCCTTCCTTCCTTCCTCCACTGCTTGCTTCTCGAATTTAAGGTCAATTTACTCTTTGTTTTAATGGAAAATAGAATATAAGGGTCCAGTGTCAGCTTTAGTTCTCTAGTTCATGTGTTTTCAAGGTCCTGTCGTAAAGTTTTATTGTTGCCAGGTAATAAATTGACAGAATGTGTTATTATGAAGGAGAGGGCGAAGAAAATATTAGCCATATCAGTTCCTTTTATTCAATTTACGTGTGTTCTTGTAAGCCATCTTCGTGGGGGAAATATACAGACATAGAGCCACACACACACACACACACAGTGAAGATATAGAAGATGTAGAAATGATTAGAGAGGAATTACAGAAAGAACCAAGGGAAGAGGAATAAGAGTAAATAAAGAAGATATGGCAAAGTTAAGAAGAAGAGAAATACTGCAGATAAGAGACATTGTAACTCATTCAAGGATCATTAAGGGGAAGGAGAGGCGAGAAGTGATAAACTAAACGAGGCAAGAGGGATGTAGGAGGGCCGAGAGAGAGAGAGAGAGAGAGAGAGAGAGAGAGAGAGAGAGAATTTAACTAAACTTACTCTGAACTGTGTGACGAGAAAAGACATGATAATTATTACAAATTAACAACAGGATACATACAACCTCTTCCACCGTCTCTCTCTCTCTCTCTCTCTCTCTCTCTCTCTCTCTCTCTCTCTAGTTCACCAAAGCTTAATGAGTCAAGAGCTACACGAATTAATTATATTTATTAGTTTATTACCTTCAGAAAATATCTTCACGAATCGTAAGACAACTCTCATCATAAATAAAATAGTCACTTTATTTAGTCTTTTTCTTCAACAGGGCAGAGGGTTACGTGACGAGATGATGATGAAAGAAAGATAAAAAATAAAATACTTAAGGAACCTCCACAATGGTATTCAGTTAAGCTTTTCTGACACTCTGTTAAAGGGAGTTAAGCTGGTTTCCTAGTACTTCAAGATTTATTGTATTTGATGATGATGATGATGGTGGTGGTGATGATGATGATGATGATGATGATGATGATGATGATGATGATGATGATGATGATGATTATACTGGTGCTGTTGTTGATGATGATGATGATGATGATACTGGTGCTGTTGATGATGATGATGATGATGATGATGATGATGATGATGATGATGATGATACTGGTGCTGGTGATGATGATGATGATGACTTTGAATGGAAGAACACGTTGTGGCAGGAGTTAGGTTGGTGATGTGTGTGCTGAGGCTGGTTAAGACGAGTTACGATCCAGCGAGGAAAAAAAATGCCAAAAAAAAAAGAGTTGAGTAATATTGACGTCCTGGAAAAGGATGGATAATTGTGTTGTCTTCCAGGAAAATGATGGATAATTGTGTTGTCTTCCAGGAAAATGATGGATAATTCTGTTGTCTTCCAGGAAAATGATGGATAATTGTGTTGTCTTCCAGGAAAATGATGGATAATTCTGCTGTCTTCCAGGAAAATGATGGATAATTCTGTTGTCTTCCAGGAAAATGATGGATAATTCTGTTGTCTTCCAGGAAAATGATGGATAATTCTGTTGTCTTCCAGGAAAATGATGGATAATTCTGTTGTCTTCCAGGAAAATGATGGATAATTCTGTTGTCTTCCAGGAAAATGATGGATAATTCTGCTGTCTTCCAGGAAAATGATGGATAATTCTGTTGTCTTCCAGGAAAATGATGGATAATTCTGTTGTCTTCCAGGAAAATGATGGATAATTCTGTTGTCTTCCAGGAAAATGATGGATAATTCTGTTGTCTTCCAGGAAAATGATGGATAATTCTGTTGTCTTCCAGGAAAATGATGGATAATTCTGTTGTCTTCCAGTAATATAATTTCCCTTACTTTCCCACCACCATAGAGAGGCTCCCTGACCACACCACCACCTCACACCTCCACCACCTCAAGGGTTCCTGGCCGGCGTTCTTTACCTAATCATAATTTCACCGTGATTTTACGCTCTCTCTCTCGTTGTCCTATTAAGTGGTTTTAATTCGTGCTGTTGCTGTCTGTAAGGTACTCACTAGTATTCTGGCGCCGCTGAGTTATGGCGCATTAGTGTCAGCGATTCACATACCAATTGTTCTTTATCTTCCTTCTTATATTGCGTTTTCTGTTCTCTCCCTTCTCTCTCTCTGTGTTTCCATTCGTTTTTAATGATTCACCCATCTTCATTACTTGATTCGTGTTTCTCTTTATCGCCACCTTCTCAGTGTCTGTTTTGTTTTTATGTTTTTATGTTTTTTTTTTTTTTTTTTTATAAGAACATAAGAACATAAGAATGGAGAAACTGCAGCGGGCCTATTGGCCCATACTGGGCAGTCCTGTTTACACCCAACCCCTATTGCTCATATGAGCATCCAACCTATGTTTGAAGCAATTCAGCGTATTCGAGTTAATGATGATATTTGGTAACTTGTTCCATTCATCCACTACTCTGTTTCCAAACCAGTGTTTACCTATTTCACGCCTAAATCTAAATTTGTCTAATTTAAAACCATTGTTACGAGTTCGCTCCTGGTTGGATAGTTTGAGTACCTTTGTAATGTCCCCTTTGTTTAGCCCTGCCTTCCACTTATACACCTCTATCAGGTCGCCCCTCGCTCTACGTCTCTCAAGGGAATGCAAATTAAGATGCTTTAACCTGTCTCTATACTCAAGGTTCCTAATGCCCGAGATTAGTCTTGTCATTCTCCTCTGAATTCTTTCCAAGGATTCTATATCCATTCTGTAATACGGTGACCAGAACTGAACTGCGTAATCCAGGTGTGGTCTCACAAGAGCAAGATACAGTTTTAGGATGACCTCGCTAGTCTTGTAACTAACACTTCTTAGTCATGTTCACTACACCACATGTTCACTATAGCAGTACACCACATGTTCACTATAACAGTACATCACATGTTCACTATAACAGTACATATCATGTTCACTACACCACATTTTCCCTATAACAGTACACATCATGTTCACTACGCCACATGTTCACTTTAACAGTACACATCATGTTCACTACACCACATGTTCACTATAGCAGTACACCACATGTTCACTATAACAGTACATCACATGTTCACTATAACAGTACACATCATGTTCACTACACCACATTTTCCCTATAACAGTACACATCATGTTCACTACACCACATGTTCACTAAAGAGGTACACCACATGTTCACTATAACAGTACACCACATGTTCACTACAACAGTACATCACATGTTATAACAGTACACATCATGTTCACTACACCACATGTTCACTATAACAGTACATCACATGTTCACTATAACAGTACATCACATGTTCACTATAACAGTGCACATCATGTTCACTACACCACATGTTCACTATAACAGTACACATCATGTTTACTACAAGAGTACATCACATGTTCACTATAACAGTACACATCATGTTCACTACATCACATGTTCACTATAACAGTACACTACATGTTCACTACAACAGTACATCACATGTTCACTATAACAGTACACATCATGTTCACTACATCACATGTTCACTATAACAGTACACTACATGTTCACTACAACAGTACATCACATGTTCACTATAACAGTACACCACATGTTCACTATAACAGTACACTACATGTTCACTACAACAGTACATCACATGTTCACTATAACAGTACACATCATGTTCACTACATCACATGTTCAATATAACAGTACACATCATGTTCACTACACCACATGTTCACTATAACAGTACACCACATGTTCACTATAACAGTACACATCATGTTCACTACATCACATGTTCAATATAACAGTACACATCATGTTCACTACACCACATGTTCACTATAATAGTACACCACATGTTCACTATAACAGTACACATCATGTTCACTACATCACATGTTCACTATAACAGTACACATCATGTTCACTACATCACATGTTCACTATAACAGTACACACATGTTCACTACACCACATGTTCACTATAACAGTACACATCATGTTCACTACACCACATGTTCACTATAACAGTACACCACATGTTCACTATAACAGTACACATCATGTTCACTACATCACATGTTCACTATAACAGTACACATCATGTTCACTATGACAGTACACCACATGTTCACTATAACAGTACACATCATGTTCACTACATCACATGTTCACTATAACAGTACACATCATGTTCACTATAACAGTACACCACATTTCACTACACTACGTCACTATTTTACCAGACAAAATACCTCTTACTACATTACTAAGCAGCGTAATAACTCAACACACGTCCAGCTGTTTATCACTCACTCCTTCACTTATTACATGATGTTTGTACCTAAGTTGTTCACCTTTACACTCCTGTTTACTTGTGCAGGGTTTTCCTACGGGCGCCAGCAGCCACCTACAGCAAACGTTGCTTATAGGTCAATGAAGCCGTGGCCAACGACTAACATACCTCTCGTTATAAGTTCCTCCTTCAACACGGCTGCCAAAAGGGGTATTCTTCAGGGTATACGCATGTTGCACGAGAGTACGTGTGTCAGGTTCGTGTCAGTAAATAAACGTAACCTGAATCACGTGAAGATGCAGGTTGCAAACGTATATAACACCATCCACGGGTACCACAACAAGCCTGGGTACGTGTCCAAGGTCAAGCTACGTGTGCCAGGATGCGCCGAAAAGCCGGCGCACGTGACGCACGAGTTGATGCACGTGCTAGGCTTCTTCCACGAGCACCAACGCATGGACCGCGATGAACACATCGTTGTGCGGTACGAAAACATGAAGGAAGGCACTAATATTATTGATTATCATGTGCAATATAACGAGACACTGGGGCTGCCTTACGACATCGGCTCCATTATGCACTATGGTCCTCGAGGGTCACGTAAAGACCATCACTCCAAAACCATAGAAGCCAGGCCTGGGGAGCCCTCCTCCTCACTCATGGGCCAAAGGACTAACCTCAGTGTTATTGACGTGGCCAGGGTCAATCGTCTGTACCGGTGTACCGAACATTACCTGGGTGACGACCTGCCCGGAGCCCAGCGCTACCAAGAGTGGGTCAACAGCCACTGATTTGAAGTAAACGAACAATTGTAGACACGTTCACGTATGAAATAAAATGTTGATAAAATATTACTTAATTTACTTATCCTATTTACTCTTTTGCCACATATAAGTGTAATATAAACGACAAGAATCACACACACACGCACACACACACCAAAACCTACTACCACTTCTTTCCAGCCAAAACACTGAGGATCCACCCCGATGATGTCCCGTGGATTACGCCCCGCATAAAAAGACTTAATGAGCAGCACAACAAGGCGTACTACACCAACAACCGCCTGTACAGAAGTCTACGTAACCAGGTCATCAGTGAAATCAAGTCTGCCAAGAAGACTTATTATCCCAGGAATGTGCACGGCCTCAAGGAGGTCGGCATGGGTCAGTGGTACTCCAAGGTAAAAGATCTCTGTGGTCTCAACCGTCAGTATCCCACACTTCCTTTCATCTCACATTTACCTAGTGAGGAGGCAGCTGAGATAATTAATAACCATTTTGCTACCATATGTCATACCTTACCCAGTCTTGACCTCACTCTCCTCCCAGCTTACTTACCTTCCCCCTTCCCCCTCCCAGTGTCATAAGAACATCAGAACATAAGAATGGAGGAAACTGCAGCTGGCCTATTGGCCCATACTGGGCAGTCCCGTTTACACCCAACCCCTATTGCTCATATGAGCATCCAACCTATGTTTGAAGCAATTCAGCGTATTCGAGTTAATGATGATATTTGGTAACTTGTTCCATTCATCCACTACTCTGTTTCCAAACCAGTGTTTACCTATTTCACGCCTAAATCTAAATTTGTCTAATTTAGCCATTGTTACGAGTTCGCTCCTGGTTGGATAATTTGAGTACTTTTGTAATGTCCCCTTTGTTTAGCCCTGACTTCCACTTATAACACCTCTATCAGGTCGCCCTCGCTCTACGTCTCTCGAGGGAGTGCAAATTAAGATGCTTTAACCTGTCTCTATACTCAAGGTTCCTAATGCCCGGGATTAGTCTTGTCATTCTCCTCTGAATTCTTTCCAAGGATTCTATATCCATTCTGTAATACGGTGACCAGAACTGAACTGCGTAATCCAGGTGTGGTCTCACAAGAGCAAGATACAGTTTTAGGATGACCTCGCTAGTCTTGTAACTAACACTCCTTTGTATGAACCCAAGTACTTTATTAGCCTTGTTACGAGCAAAAACACATTGTTTACTTGGCTTAAGGTTCCTACTTATCATTATTCCTAAATCTCTCTCGCAGTCGGATTTCTCTATGGCATCGTTGTTCATCTGGTATCTGGTTTCCCTGTTTACATCTCCTATACTGAGTACTTTACATTTGTCGACGTTAATTTCATCTGCCATTTTTCAGACCATTCGAAAAATTTGTTTAGATCTTCCTGTAGTTTTGCCGAATCCTCGTCAGATTTGATAACACGTCCATTTTAGTGTCATCAGCAAATTTACTTATGTTGCTGTCTATGCCGATATCTATGTCGTTTATGTATATAATAAACAATAATGGTCCAAGTACTGAGCCTTGGGGAACTCCACTTGTGACGTTGCTCCAATGGGACTTAGTGCCGTTAATGCTCACTCGCTGTTTCCTGTCCTGTAACCACGCCCTAATCCATTTAAGGATGTCACCTTTGATTACAATTGATTTCTCCGGGTCTTTCGTTTTATGGATATTTTGTGTTGTAGTGTTATGCGTCAAGCTCCGTGTCTAACTCCGCTAAATAGATACATAAGGATACATAAACTTGTGAACGGCTCCCTGCTATATAACTGTTCATGATGGCTAGACACACACACACACACACACACACACACACACACACACACACACACACACACACACACACACACACACACACACACACACACTTCTATGGCCTTTCTTTATTCCAATGGTTTTATTTATTTTTTTAGCTAGTATGAATGGTTGAATTTTCTAATATTTTTTCGGTATTCAGAACTGGAAAATACAAGGCGATGAGAAATTAATCCTAACCTAACCTATCCGTGAAACTCAGAAATAAAACGACTATACTTGGGATTTGTGTAAATTTATGACCTGTAAAGTTAATACCTTGTTATTTTAAGACTTGTAAATATTAAGAAGTAAATTAAAGGCCTGCAAATTTAAGACCTGTAAATTTATGACCTGTAAAGTTAAGACCCTGTTAATTTAAGACTTGTAAATATTAAGAAGTAAATTAAAGGCCTGCAAATTTAAGACCTGTAAATTTAACACGCGTAAGTTCAAGACATGTAAATTCAAGACCTGCAAAATTTTTACATGTAAAATCAAGACTTATAAATTCAAGACCTGTAAATATAACCCTTGTAAATTTTAATTTTTACTCATAAATTTTGTGTAAATCTAAACTTGTGTGTCTTGTGTTTAACGATTATTAAACTATAAAAAAAGTAATAATAATCTCTCGGCAAACTTTAATCTTTTCTCGGTGTTTCAGTGTCAGTAAATCTTAGCGTTTGGCGTTAGTTATTACTGCCGTCACTGTTTACCTGTAGATTACCTTATATACCAGGTGTGTATGAGGCAAGTTGTACTATACTCTCTAACACCACCAATACACTCTTCACTACCACCATTACTACCACCACTCATCACTACCACCACTCATCACTACCACCACTCCTACGTAAGGTTAGGTTAGGTTAGGTTACGTTGGGATATAAACCAACTGGTGGGCGAGAATACAGACCCAATTATCACCAAAAGCGAAGGATTTTATCAGTAACTCTAACCATTAACGCTGACAATCCAGTAATTTAACTAAAATAAAATAAAATTAGCCTTTATTGATTAGCGACAATGTTAAAATAAAAATGAATTTAACCGGAGGAACTACAGTAGACTACTAATGAATGATTCACAATTCCGTGAGTAAATAATCGTTTTAACCACACAGAAATCGGGCATCGAAGTCAGAATCAACCTGACCACACATACAAAAAAGAGATCAAATAAATAAAGAGAAATAAAAACACCTGGTAAAGAATAAGGTAAAAAAAAAATCTCACGTGTTCCACCAGACTGAGTAATGTCAACACCCCCAAGAACTTCAGTTTGAGATGATTATGTAATATATTGTCTTAGGCGGGAGAGGTGAGACACATCCGACAGCGCTTGCCCGGCACGTCGCTTTTGGACCACATTCAACCAGCGGTGGCGTTAGGAAGCTGAAATCCATAACTTGTCCTGATTGTGTGTGTGTGTGTATGTGTCTGTGTGTGTGTGTGTTGTCAGGAATATGTGCAGGGAGCTGAAGACAATGCCCTGCCACTTACCTCCTCGCCACGGAACAATTAACACCGTCAGGAGTCTGTCTGAGTGGCTCTTCGGCAGGAGGGGAGGAAGGTGGTAGAGAGGGAGGAGGAAGTTGACAGTGAGAAAGGAGGTGGGGGACGGTGACAGTGGAGGGGGAGGTGACAATGAGGGAGGGGGAACTCTCTCTCTCTCTCTCACCCCATCGTCAGGAAAGTGTTAGACTAGAGCGACTAAACTGGCTGACGGCCCGGGATTGTCCGGTACTGAAGGTGACCGTTAGAAGGAGAGAGAGAGAGAGAGAGAGAGAGTCCTAGGTCGCGATTAAAAAAAAATATAACCATTATTTACTGGACATACAAAAAAATTACAATGATATAATTAACACGAGAGAAAAAAAATGAAAGAACAAAATTAATACCAAGATGAATTTATACACACAAGCAAAACGATGAACGAACACAAGAAAACGAATACTCACGGAAAAGAAATAACGAACGAGGGAGATAATATTAACGATAAAAAGGGGGGAAGAAGAAGGCACGAGGCAATGAAGATGGGTTTAGAGAAGAAGATCCAAAGAAAGAGGGAGATAGAGAAAGAAAAAGAGAGAAGAAGTAGAAGAAGAAGACGTGATAACCAGAGGGGCGTGAAGATGGAAGCGATAGGAGGAGGAGAAAGTGAAGGAGGGAAGGAGCAAGGAAATATAATTACTCAAGAGAAAAATCATCCATTAAAAAAAGAAGATGAGAAAGGGGAAGAAAAAAGAGGACAAATATCCACAGCAGAAAAGGAAAGAAGAAAGAAAGAAATAAAGAAAGAAAGATTGGGAGAGAGATAGAAACAGAGAGAGAGATAGATAGACAGATAGATAGAGACAAATTGAGAGAGAGAGAGAGAGAGAGAGAGGGTGGATGCATAATTACCGCGGAAGAAGAATGAATAAAAACGAAAGAATTAATAAAAACGACATTAAATAACCGTGATGAATGGGTTATGAATAAACATGAGGATTAATTATGTTTTTGTTAGATGAAACGAAATTGAATAAAAGACGAAATATAAAGGGAAGGTGGTGAGAGATGAAGAATTTTAGTGAGATGCAAGGTGGGGAGGAGGGGGGGGTGAGTGTGGTAGTGAATGTGGTGATGTGTGGGGTGGTGAATGTGGTGATGTGTGGGGTGGTGACTGTGGTGGCTGTGGTAGTGAATGTGGTGGGTGTGGTGAATGTGGTGATGTGTGGGGTGGTGAGTGTGGTGATGGGTGGGGTGGTGAATGTGGTGGCTGTGGTAGTGAATGTGGTGGGTGTGATAGTGAATGTGTGGAGGTGAATGTGGTGATGTGTGGGGTGGTGAGTGTGGTGATGGGTGGGGTGGGTGAGGTGTGGGTGATGGGTGGGGTAGTGAGTGTGGTGGGTGTGGTGGTGAGTGAATGTGGTGATGTGTTTGGAGGTGAATGTGGGGTGTGGTGGTAAATGTGGTGGTGAATGTGGTGATGTGTGTGGTGGTGAGTGTGGTGTTGGGTGTGTGGTAGTGAGTGTGGTGATGGGTGTGGTAATGTGTGTGGTAGTGAGTGTGGTGGATGTGATGGTGAATGTGGTGGGTGTGGTGATGGGTTTGATAGTGAGTGTGGTGATGTGTGTGGTAGTGAGTGTGGTGATGGGTGTGGTGGTGAATGTGGTGGGTGGGGAGGTGAATGTGGTGATGTGTGTGGTAGT